AATAACATGTATTTTTAGCCTTGAATTAGACTTGGGTTATAGTCAGGCTGAGGTAAGTTGATTTTCCCAACTTAGGCTAGCTCAAAATTGAGCTAAGGTATGATAGGGGTTTGTAATTTGGGGCTGGGTTGGACTTAAGATAAGGTGTGATAGGGGTTTGTAATTTGGGGTTAGGTTGGACTTAAGCTGCCTAGGATTAGTTGGGTTTGATTTAGATTGATCCGGGTTAAATTGGGTTGACTTGGGTTGAGTTGGGTTAAGCTGAGTTAACCTGGCTTAACTTAGGATTGATTTGGGTTTGACCCAGATTAAGTTGGGTAGGCCCGGGTTGGGTTTGGGTTGATTTGGTTTGACCCGAGTTAGCTTATGTTTAGTTTGGATTTGACCAGGGTTAAGCTGGGTTAGCACCAGTTTGTTATGTTTAGTTTGGGTTTGACCCGAGCTAAGCTAAGTCAGCTCAGGTTAGCTTAAGATGGGTTGGATTTAGGTTTGATTAGGGTCAAACCTAGATTAAGTTAGGTTTAGGTATGGTTTGGGTCAAACCTAGGTTAGGTTGAGATTTAGGTTAGGCCTTATTTGGGTATGACTTGGCTTATGGGTCAGGCCTAAACTGGGTCGGACCTGGTTTAGGTTTGGGTTAAGGTTTGAGCTAGACCTGAGGACCTGAGTTGGTAGGTCTAGTGTTTGGGTTTGAGCTAGACCTGAGTTGGGTTAGATCTAGTGTTTAGTTAGGTTTAGCCGGTGAGTTTAAGCCAGACCTTGGTTGGGTCAGATCTAGTGTTTAAGTTTGGCTAAGTTTAGGTTGGGTTTAGGTTAGGAATTGGGTTAGACCTAGATTGGGTTAGGTCTAGGGTTTAGGTTAGGGTTTGGGTTAGACCAAGGCTATTAGGTTGATTAACCTAGCCTAAAACTAATTTGAAATTTAATAAAAAAAGCAAATGCTTAATTGAAAAAACTAAGTGAATTACTGGGGAGGGAGGCTTGACCGGAATAGGAGGCTTACCGAGGAATTGCTTCCCTTCTTCTAAATGCCAAAGACTTCGAGTGTTGGAGGGTTTCTTCTCCCTTTAACAGGCTGCCTATTTATTGGTTCTGAAAGCGGGGGCTGAGCACTCTGGAGCCGTCCGATGGGGTGGCGGGTTGACAACATAGATCCATCGGACGGTTAGTGAGCCACAGATCGCCGCCAGCAAAACAGTGTGATGATTTGTGGCTTGATCCGTGGACGAAAGCCACATATCGCTGACATGCAAAGACGGTTTTCTTGGGCGTGGACATGCCCAATCCTAGCGTGACCACGCTGAGGAACCTCTAGGCATGGTCACGCCTAGGCTAGGCATGAAGAAGCCGAGGTGCTTTGGTGCGTGGTCACACCCAAGCCTGGCGTGACCACGCCAGACCAAAAAAGGGCAATTGCTGTTTTGACCAATTTTGTTGTACCATATCAAGGGGTGATGGCTGTGCAAATCCTATGTGACCAAAAATGAGTTCAACAATAGCCCAAGCATTATCATGTAATGTGATTGCATGATTGCTTGCTTTATGATACATGTGTAGTTGGGTCAAGTTGAGGACGTTAAACTAAACATTTATTGGGAGACAACCTAAAGAATTTTCCTTACTTTTTGGTGTGATTGAGCATGCTTTGCTAGCCATAATACCTAGAAACACCTACATCTCACACAATTTAGAAGAACAATGATGATGTTTGACTAGCTTAAAATTTAGAATTTAATATTGTACCTGTAATTTCCTGCATAGCACGTGAGTGATGTGTTATGGTTTACCTATCTATTGATTTATTATCTTAAATATTCTAGTGTAGTATGTATTTTTAGCCACTATGCTTATGTTCCAGTACCTTTGTTTATGTTTAGTATTGGTTGCACACTGCATATTCTCAGTAAAAAGGGGAGAATTAATGTGTAATTATTGCCCCTTAAGTTAAAGTAAAGATAAAACATTAGAATTTATATAAAATGCGGGGCATAGAAAGACAAGCAGAGGTGAATTTTAATAATAGGTAGAAAACTTAAATTTCAGTGAGAAAATTCTAAAGGCAGTGAATAAAGTTAGTCAACCACTAGTACTTGATTTATAATTCTATTAATACCTAATCGATATACTTTTTCATAAATTCTTAATGTGGGCAATAAATATTTATAAAATCAATACCTCAAGACTATAAATTTCATCACTAAATAATTTAATTCTTAGACAACATTAGTTGAATTATAATTTTTTTAGGAAAAGTTAGGAAATAATTAAAATTTTGATTTAGAATGGGATCAGTATTCAAAATTATTAGGAGAAGCATGAGGTTAAACTCAAATAAGAAAATTGGTACTAATAAACATTTCTAATAAATCAAAGGATTAAAGCTTCACTAACTTAACTTTGAAATTTTATATTCAACATGATAATAACAGAATAAATATTGTTTAAGTGCGTAGCTAAACAAATTTCATGTGAAATGTTAATTTCATGAAATTATGATCTCACATAATTAATTTGAGATGATTTGAATAAATCTAGTCTTAATGTGAGTTATATCAAGATATTAAGGGGTTGCTATGAAAATTCTACCTAAAGAAGGGACTTGAGCACATTTATCTAAATATGTGTTGAATTATTAAAAAAATACTGAAATTCTTGATCTAAATCTACCATAATTTTGATTAAATTCTAATTTTAGATTTTGAAATTACTTAGGGCAAGAAAAATTTATGTGGATATTTGATGTGTATTAAATATGTGTGATATTTTATGTTATTTTTATATTATTTATGTTATTTTTATGCTTTTCTATGACATTTATGGTTGTATATGCAATGCACAGGTGATTAGACATCTTAGGAGCAAAGGAGATGAAATAGATTCACAACAAGCTGAACTAGCATTTAGGTGCCAATCGTAGGGCCCAAATGCCCTAAACAATGAACTAGGCACCTGAAACCAGAGCCACATAAGCTTAAGCTCCAGTTTTGAGTTATCATGCTCCCGAAAGCAGAGAGACACTAGTTCCAAGCGCCTAGGCGCCCTTAAGCGCGGAATTTTGGTTCAGACTCCTTAATAGATGTCATTTCATGTCAAAGGAGTTAAAGGAGCCTAATACAAAGCATCAGAAGGAAGAGAGGGGATTGGATATCATCGAAAGGGAGAAGCATGCCACTGGGAAGGGCGTCGTCGAAGAATACTTGGGAGTAGTCAGAGCACTTCAAAGGAGAATTCTATAGGAGTTTTGTTAGTGTAAGCGAGTGTAGTCCTGAGTGAGATTGAGTTTATAGTATACTCAGAGAGAGAAATCACAATGGATTCATTGTAAGCTCTTATAAATCAATGGAGAAGATCGATGAGATCGTTCTAACTTTGTTAAACTTTAATTTATTAAAAAAAAATCTATATTTTGTTCAACCATAAAGTGTATGACTGAATCTTATGTATCGCTTGAACTGGATTCTATGCAAATTGCTAAAGTGTTTGTATAGTGATCACGTGTAACTATTTATAAGTTAATAGTTTAACCTTCTTGTAATTTACTCCTAAAATATCCACTTAGGTTGTTAAAATGAGTTGTGATCTAGTACTATGGAAGTAGGCTAGTGGAATAATTATGTTAGGGCGGTGCAATAGTGTAGGAAAATTTGCAAATGCTGGAAATTTTGCATGATTAGGGGACTAATGTAATATGAAATCCCAATTTTTCTTATTATCACTAAGAGGGGATAAGGACAGCTGTTGTTCCTAATTGTCAACATTAATGGAGTCACATGGATAGGGCTAAGTTGCTAATTTCAATTTAAGGGAGGTTTTCTCACTTAATTAAAACCCTAAAACATAGTTAGTAGGTTTCAACTCTTTACAAAAATTAGGTTAGTCACTTTCAAAAACTCACCCAACTTTAATTCTCCAAGCTCGGCGTAAGTCCAATAAATAAAAAAAATTTCAAATTTGAAAATTAAACATGTTCCTCGTGTGCTTGATACACGAACTCAAATTTATATACTACTTGATTGACACGTATACTTGCGTAGTTGCCGATGCTTCACAGTATATTTAGCATCACTCGCTCCATGAAGGCATAATACAGGGCCCTTATCTTAGCAACAATTGACAGCATTTGGCTAAGATGTCTTCTTCAAGACTTCAAGCTGCCACTACCTCAGACCACCCCCTACGTTGTGAAAATATCTCCACCATTTCTCTTGCTAACAACCGAGTATCTCATGCTAGGGCAAAACACATTGACGTCGATTGGCACTTTATTAGGGATTGCATAAAAAACAAACATATCATGACAGATGACATCGCTACCTATGATCACATAACGAACCTCTTTACTAAATCTCTCTCCAACGCTCAGTTTTAGCTCCATCTTTCAAGCTGACTCTCTCTCTCTTGAGATTATCACCTTGAAGGGGGGTGTTAATGTTACAAAACCATTGCACCAGACAAATTACCGTCTACTACTCCACTCTCGGCATTGACTGCATTTTAACCAGATACATGTAACCAAATTCATCACAGCCATTCATCACCTAACATAACTAATTACATCACCTTTAAATACATCTCCTATGTACTGTTGAAACCATGAGACAGAAATACAAAGAGTTAAATCAGCAAGTCTCCCATAAAGCTTTCTTTTCTACTCTATCTTTTCTGCTCTGCTCATGAGTATACTACACAGTCAATGCTTGACAACCTATAGATACGAAATATATTTAATAAATCATTTCACATTCCTTATAATACCTAAGTGATTTATTTTCCTATGAGACATTCAGAATGCTTGCACTCAAATAATAGAGTTGTACAATTTAGATTAAAAAAGTGCCCTGTTCGAAACTAGCATCAAATAAATACATAAAATAATTTATATCTGAAATATGGCAACCGTTCAAGAATTAAATGCTAGAAGAAATGGAAAAAAATGAATTAGTTAAATCTAAATATAGCAAATAATTAAAGGAAAAAATATACAAAGGATAACACTATACCTGCACAATGACAGAAAGTACTTCCATGACAAAAATACCAGAGGAAATAAATAATGGCAAGAACATTCCCGTGCAAGAAGCCATTGAAGCAAGTGCACCACCCAAGCCCAAGGAGCCAGTATCACCCATAAATATAGAAGCCTTATATCTGTTGTGAAATAAAAAACCTACACAAGCACCCGCCATTGATGCTCCGAAGATTGAAAGTTCTGTTTCCAACTAGAAGAGATCAGTACTTCCCAATTTTGATCTTTGCAATGCAATTCAAATTAGCCAAAAGGCAGTTTCAGCAGAATGGTAGAGGATATTATTGAAAACAATATGCGTACTGATGTAAAGGATTGATATTGAAAAGTGAGGGCCAAAATACGTATTGGATATCTTGCATCTACAAGTAACATTGGAAGTAGTAGCATGTACAAGAAAACATAAATTAACGTTTATGATCAGCTTGACCAGGCTTATTAGTGTTTAGATGGAGATCAGACCTCAAACTCCAAGGTTTCAAAGAAAGTTAATCTTTTAGATTGATAACAAAACCACGAAGCAGAAGCAGCGGTTATTCGTAGGCCAATGCTGTTCTTTAAGCACAAGAGGCAGAAGGAGAACAGAAGTTTTAATTTCATTGGTCGAACCTAATCTCTGCTCCAGATTCTTATGAGTAGAGTATGTTTACTGATTAGGCTCAAATCTCCGTAATCAAAATAAATAGAAAACTTATGTTTAGTCATTTGATTAGTCTAAATAAACTCAAAGCCCCATCATATCCTATATGCAGAAATTATCCATGAATATGTAAACATAACAAGATGACTAACTGTTAAGACTGGAGTGTGGAACACCAGGGACTTAAATCCGAGCTTAATACATCAACAAATTCTCATTTTACAAATAGATAAATATATCATTCTTTTTCAAGGGACAACTTATCATTCTTTTTTCGTTTACATTGTATGCGCATAGATGATAAACTTATTTTATATTCATAATAAAATAGTCAGTTACATTTATAGTTTATCTTGATTTATTGCTATATGGACTCCAATATATTAAATTGATTGATTAAGTTATAATATTTATTTTTTAAGCACGATAATTATGTTAAATACAACATATTTTATTCATGTAAAAATCATATTTTAAAATATCAATAACAATGGTAAATTATTTATAAAATACCATTAAAAAATTATAAAATTTCATACTTAAAAGCAGTGATGTATAGGTTGGAAGAACTTTTTGGTATTAATTAACTAGGCCAATGGGCTCACAAAATGATAACTCTGTATAAAATTATTGAATTTCCTTTGATTCTTGTTTACCATCTCTATTTAAAGGCTTTATAAAATTGACTATTAGCATATATAAATTGAATTGAAATTGAATAATAAATGATTGTCAAATCATATTTTAAAAAAATATGATTAAACCTGATATGATTACATTGGGATATAAGAAAATCAAATGTTAATGGATCGCGGTTTATTAAATGGCTGATCATAAATATCATCATATAAGAAATCACTTCAAAGCATAGTACTTATCACATTTAGAATCTATAATTTCACTTAAACCTGAAAACAACTTGATTGCATTTATTACATGGAAGTATATGAAGTAATCACATCATTTCGTTATTTATGATGCACACCCCAATGCCTTGTTTTTAATATTTTAATAGGCAGTGGTTACATACTAATTTGACTTGTCAAATTTACTCATTATAAATTTTCTCATAGCAAGTTCTACCAAGTTGATTGGGAGACAATCACCATAAGAGTAAATTTTCAATAGTTTTTTTATAACTTTAAGTTTATGCATTAAGTTATTTGTGTTTCTTTTGAGTATGAGCATTTTTTTTTTGTAGTTACTTTCTTTCATTTTGTTCTAATTAGATATTATTCTACTTGTTGAACTCTTCTTAAAAATTTTATCGATTGGATGAAATATTATTTCCTTTATATTTATACTAATAGATTTTATTTATTGCAAATGAACATCCATTTTTAAATTCAGAACAAGACTTTATATTTTTTCATTATATCCTGTGTTTTAAAGATGTGTCGCCTTCTGAACCTGGGATGTGACAAAGTATTATTAGAGTTTGATTTTTGTTTTTAATATTCCTTGTTTTCTTAAGGACATTTATTGAGGTGACTTTTTTTTAGGTTATTATCCATAACTATTATATTATTATATAACATGAATATTTAGTTATTCATTCAATTTTGATTTTGTGATATTTCATTAATATAAAATGGTGCCAAGAAAAAGAGGTGTATAATCGCTCGCATAAAGGTTAGCCCAAGTGCAATTGAAGAAGTTGTATCTAAGCTTAGAGGCCCTTATTCTCTTAACTGTAGTCATGGCGTGAAATGGTGTCATGTAGTGTCACTCAATATTACTAGCGAAGGTTTGAGCTCAAATTATGCAAGTAATTTAAGAAATTTATTAAAAAATTGAGAAGTTACAAGCATGCCAAACTCTATTATTGTGGCTTCGTTAAACTAATCGTTAAGTAATGCACAAGTATCTCCACTAATGCAAGTTGACATAACAATAAATGCTAATATTGGAATTAAAACTTTGTAGGTTATGGCTAGTAATAAGGATGTAATAGATCGAATGATAGGCTGATTTTTTATGACACGTCCTACTTTTAATAGTACTGTGGGTTCAATAAAATCAAATACATGATTCAAGATATAGATAAGAGATTTCAAATAATAAAGTGCCCCAAGGAGTATAAGATGTGTATGATTGCATTCTAATTGCATTAAAGTGTTGATAAATGGTGAGAGAGTCACTATTGTAATATTGGTTAACATGATACCTTGGGCAAGATTTGAGAGACCATTCTCGAGCAATGCTTTCTAATGACAAATTGTTGTAGACTATGAGAGACAATTTTCAAGGATCACCAGACTCATTCCTTTGATTATCCAATACAACTTGATAGAAGATATTAGAAAGTTTTTATTTGTTTTCAAATCCATTACCTAAAAAGAGCAAATTAATTGAGTCATGCACTAGAGATAGAGCTCAATGTTTAACAAGAGAGTGTGCTAGCAAGTAGAAGAATGTGGACACGCAAGTAGATGAGAGTTCTCAATAACACCAAAGCCGGCTGATACACAAAAATATATGCATTTTTAGACGCATATTTTATACCTATCTTTGATGATATTGCACTTTAATGGAAGGTATTTTGATGTTTTCTTGCAGGTTGTTGATTTTTAGGGCTTAAAGCAAAAAGAAAGCAAAAATGATGAAATTTGGAGTCAAAATGACATTTTTGAAGAAATGCTCAGAGCCGGCAGCGCCGACGACGCAGAACAAATAAACGTGGAGATGTTTTACTCAGCATCGACGGCGCCAGACCAGCACCAACGGGGCAAAAGGAGTTGCAGAACCTTCCAGAAAGTTTGATGTATTTGGACGATTTTTTGAAAAGTTTTTGGAGGCACCTCTTGGAGAACCGACCTTAAGCTCTATTTGGGGCCGAATTTCATCAGAAAAAGCGCTCCTCTATGTTTTTCACTCCTCTACTTTCATTTTTCGCACCACATCATTCCATTCCACTTCCATATTGGAGTCAATTAGTGATTTTGTATTCATAGTTTATAGTTTTTGTGGTGAGATTTAGTGTAAAACTTTCTGTAAGAGTGTTGGAGAAGGAGAAAAGTGAGAGATATCTTCTTCCTGTATTTCTAAAGAAATACTATGAAAGATTTGCTTTGAGAAAGAGTTTTCAAATAAGTATTATTTATTTATCAGTGTTATATGAACTTTCTTTTATATATGAAATTTGTGTTTTGCTATTTCTTTCTCATGAAGTCTGAGTAGTTCTCTCTATCTTTCTCCCAACTCTGAGATATGGTGAAATGAAGAGATAATATGAATGTGTCAATATTAAATTGTAAAATAAATTGTGAGGATTTTTCAACTCCGAACTTAATTTACTTTTCGATTTGGCCAATTGAATTGTTAAAATGTGTTGTGAAACATATGATCCGGGAAATGGAGTATGAAATCTATAACAGAGTAAGGATCATATTTGATTCCATGAAGGAGAACATTGTTTATGGAATTAAGTGCAAATAAGTAAGGAAATATTCTTTGTTGGGTGTAGAATTGGAGAACCTTTAGGGTGATAGATTAAAATCTTCAATTCAGTCGTAGTGTTTAAAATTTGAAGCGAGAGCTAGCCTTCAGGTGAAGGGAAGTGAGAGCTCTGGAGTGGGAGACGATATTCTCCAAGCCTAGCCACGAATTTAGGGACTAAACACTGACATTAACCAATGATTTTCTATGCACTGTATCAGGGTAGAGAATTAAAATTACTCCTATTTGACACAATACATATTATGAACATTTATCTCATTTCATTTTACCATAGCTTCATTGTAGTGGGAATGATGTTTTTTCACATAAGAATCTCCGTTACATAAACATAGTTAATATATTAATATTTATTGTTTTAAAATTTGCATATTTGATTTGATAATAGTTTAGAAATTTAATTTTGATTACATCTCAATAATTGAAATTAGTGACAGTGATTTCAATTGACTTTCTGTGAATTTTCTCATAAATTTGTCATTTCCAATTTAAACATTTCCCGTAGGATCTATATTTGGGGCTTAAATAGAAAGTTCATTATTACTTGATAACGATATGTATACTTGTATAGAATTCGAATATTAATTGCTTATATTTAATTAAATTTTACACAATTTATCGTAACAAAAAAAGTCGGATAAAGTTTTTAGAGCCATTACCGAGGAAGGTAACAGTTGAATTAAATAGTTATATGATATATCATTCATTTTAATTTATTAATAATATATATACCATAAGAAAATTATTATTATTATTATTAAAAAAATAATATAATAATAAAATTTAAAAATAAAAAATCCAAAAAGAAATATTTTTATTAGAGTGTTTTACTTTGCTTGTTTTATTTGTTTATGCGAAATATTCGATCTGAAAGTTTAGTACCATACGATTCAGAATTAGAACGTACTATTAGAAAAATTTGAAAATAACAAAAAGAAATTAAAAATTTACAAGAAATGGCGAATAACTTAGATAATCTAATAAATGAAAATCGATAAAGACCTTTAAAAGATTATGCGAATCCGACAGCAGATGAACTTCACTTGACTATTCAAAATCCTGATGTTGTTGCTAATTCATTTGAGCT